TATTTTTGTTGGTCTACTGTAGGCTCCCTCTTCTCTTCCATTGATATAAATGTCTATTTTTCATCAATACCACACAATTTTCATTAGTGTAGCTTTACATTAGATCTTTAAATCAGGTAGTATGAATCCCTAATGTTTTTTTTTTCAAAATTGTTTGACTATTATAGTTCCCTTGGCTTTCCATATACATTTTAGAATCAGTTTATTTCTATTTATACAAAATGCTCCTGGGATTTTTTGGGGGGATTACTTTAAATTTGTAGATAAATGTTGGGGGAATTAGCAATTTAGCAATATTGATCCTTATAATCTATGGATATAGTATATCTCTCCATTTATTTAGGTCTTTTTAAATTTCTTTCACCATTATTTAATATTTTTCAGCATACTGATCCTGCACATATCTCCTTAGGTTTATATTTACTGCATTTATTTTTTGGTGTTATTTTAAATGGTACTTTTTCCTCTCAATTTTGATTTATAATTGTCTATTGCTTGTATATAGAAATATAATTAATTTTTATATATTGATCTTCTCTCTTATCACCTTGCTACATTCATTTATTAATTCTAGGAGCTTTTTGTACTTTCCTTTGGATTTTCTATATAGAGAGTGATGTGGGAAACAAAGGTAGAAGAAAAATTATTACATTTCTTTACTATCTACAGCCCATTGACAAGTCCTTGAAACAGGCAGAGTGGCATTCCTCTAGGGACTTAACTGCCTCATTGTTAATACTTTCCTAAGGGCAACAGGCAATCTTAGCCCAACCCCCAGGGTCCTGTAAATCTACTTTAACATATAAAAATTCCTTTAGAAATTTCCTTTATCTCTAAACCCCCCAAGATACGTGTTGGCAATCATCCCCCAAGCATATGGCCCACCGATATACATCTGAAGGATCTCATGACTAAGGTTTTATTAGATGGTAATAAATGACCTTTTCCTAACAATAACTAGTCCCCTCAAGGTCCTGGAAATCTTGTTTCCAAAAGTCCTTAGAGACTTACGCTATCCCTAACCCCTCTTCCAATTTATAGGTATATAATCACCACCCCTTATGACCCAATTGCAACTCTTTCTGCCCATGGGTCCTGTCCCCCGTACTTTAAAAAAAAATCACCTTTTATGGGGCACCTAGGTGGCTCAGTCATTAAATGTCTGCCTTCAGCTCAGGTCATGATCCCAGGGTCCTGGGCTCGAGCCCCACATCAGGTTCCCTGCTTGGCGGGAAGCCTGCTTCTTCCTCTCCCACTCCCCCTGCTTGTGTTCCTGCTCTGGCTATCTCTCTTTCTGTCAAATAAATAAATCAAATCTTAAAAAATATATTAAAAAATAAATTAAAAAATCACCTTTTTGCGCCAAAGACGTCTCAAGAATTCTTTCTTGGCCTTCGGCTTCAAACCCTAATGTCTTTCCTACATCAGATAGTACGTGTCATTTGGAAATAGAGACAGTTTTATTTGTTCCTTTTCAATCTGTAGGCTACTTACTCTTTTCTTCCTTTATTACACTAGCTAGGACTTCCAGAACGATACTGAGTATGAGGGGTGGAAGCAGACCCTCTTGCTTCATTATTTTTTTTAAAGATTTTATTTATTTATTTGAGAGAGAGAGAGTGAGAGAGCATGAGAGGGGAGAGAGTCAGAGGGAGAAGCAGACTCCCTGCTGAGCTGGGAGCCTGATGCAGGACTCCATCCTGGGACTCCGGGACCATGCCCTGAGCTGAAGGCAGTCGCTCAACCAACTGAGCCAACTTAGGTGCCCCTCTTGCTTCATTATTGATTTTAGCAGGAAGTTTTCAGTCTTTTATTAGTATGTCTTAGGTAGGATATAGGGTCTGGGGAAGTATTTTTATAGATTTCATTATCATGAGAAAAGCATTCAGTCTTTCCTATTTCTATTTGCTAAAGATTTGTATCATGAATAGCTATTGAATTTTGTAAGTTGCTTTTTTTTGGCATCTACTGAGATGACTAGTTTTCCTTCTGTTAATATTGTGCAGTACATTAATTGATTCTACATTGAAACAGCCTGGAATTACTAGGAAAATACCCACTTGGTCATGATTACTGTCTGTTTAACATGTTACAGATTCTATTTGCTAATAATTTGTTGAAAAAAATTATGATCATATGAAGGATAGTTTTCCATAGTTTTTATTTCTTGTAATTGTCTTTGGTAGTGGTATTAGAGTAAGGCTGGTCTCATATAATAAGCTGAGAAGTGTTCCTTTCTATTCTATTTTCTTGAAGAGATTATATAGAATTGGTATTATTTCTTCTTTGAATGTTGGTAGGGCATGGGGTTTTTATTTTATCTGTTTCTTCTTAAGTGAATTTTGGTAATTCCTTCAAAGAATTATTCAGATTCATTTGAAGAATTTTTCTATTTTATCCACATTTTCTTTTTTTTTTAAGATTTTTATTTATTTATTTGAGAGAGAGAGAGAGAAACAGCATGAGAGGGAAGAGGGTCAGAGGGAGAAGCAGGCTTCCCACTGAACTGGGAGCCCGATGTGGGACTCAAACCCAGGACTCCGGGATCATGACCCGAGCCGAAGGCAGTCACTTAACCAACTGAGCCACCCAGGCACCCTATTTTATCCACATTTTCATATTATAGGCATAGAGAAATAGGTAGCATTCTCTTATTACCTTTTCAAAGTCTATGTGGTCTGTAGTGATATTCCTTCTTTCTTTCTGATATTAGTAATGTGTGTCTTCTCTCTTTTTATCCTGATCAATCTAGTGAGAGTTCTATCAATTTTATGAATTTATTTAAATAATTGGCTTTTGGTTTCATTTATTTTTGCCATTTTAAAAATTTCAATGTCATTGATTTTGCTCCTATTTTTGTTAGTTCCTTCCTTCAACTTGCTTTGGTTTCAATTTGTTCTTCATTTTCTTGTTTCTTAAGGTGGAATCTTTTTTTTTTTAATCCTATTTAGTTAACATATAGCATATTACTAGTTTCAGGGGTAGAATTTAGTGATTCATCAGTTGCATATAACACCAGTGTTCATTACATCAAGTGCCCTCCTTAATGTCCATCATGCAATTACCCTATCCCCCCCATCCACCTTCCCTTCCACAAGCCTCAGTTTGTTCTCAATAGTGAAGAGTATCTCTTTAGGTGGAATCTTAAATGATTGATTTGAGACCTTTTTTCTTTTCTAATACAACCTATTAATGGTCTATACCTATCTATCTGTCTATCTGTCTATCCATCCATCCATCTCCCATAATCACTGATTTAGTTTCCTGCTACAAATTTTGATATATTACATTTTAATTTTTATTCAGTTTAAATGAGTTTCTAACTTTCCCACAACTTTCTGTTTGCCCCATGTGATATTTAGAAGCAAGCTGTTTAATTTTCACTTTGTTGGCTATCTTCCATTTATCTTTCTATTATTGACTTGTAATTTAATTCTGTTATGGTCGAGAAATAATTTGTATGATATAACTTCTTGCAAGTATGTTAAGGTTTGTTTTATGGTCAGATATATAGTTTGTCTTGGTGAGTGTTCATGTAAACTTGAAACAAATGTGTATTCTACTTTTGTTGGGTAGAATATTCTATATTCTATAAACATCCATAAATGTTCACTAGGTCAAGTTTGTTCATAGTGTTGCTCAAATTTGTATCCTTGTTGTTTGGCTGTCTTCTTGTTCCGTCAATTACTAAAAGAAGACTCTTTAAGTGTCCAGGTATAATTTTGGATTTATTTATTTATTTCTCTAAGTTGTATTAGTGTTTGATCCATAGATTTTGAAATTCTACTATTAGGTAAACACAAATTTAGGATTCTTGTGTATTTTTGGAGAGCTAATCTTTTATAATTATGTAATGCCCCTCTTTATCCATACTTCTTTAATATGAAATGTCCTTTGTCCCATATTAATATAATAACTCCAGTTTTCTATTGATTAATAATTGCATGGTATATTTTTTCCCTCCTCTACTTTTTTTTTATGATTTTATTTATTTATTTGACAGAGAGAGGGACAGCAAGAGAGGGAACACAAGCAGGGGGAGTGGGAGAGGGAGAAGCAGGCTTCCTGCTGAGCAGGGAGCCAGATGCGAGGCTCAATCCCAGGACCCTGGGATCATGACCTGAGCCGAAGGCAGACACTTAACAACTGAGCCACCCAGACACCCCTCCCTGCTCTACTTTTAACATATCTATACCATTGTAGTTAAAGTGAATTTCTTGTAGACCGCATATAGTTGGGCCTCATTTTTTTAAATCCAATTTGAAATTCTTTGTCTTTTAATTAATATACATAGCTTATTTATATTTTATACAAATATTAATCTGTTTGTGGTTCAGTCTGTCATTTTATTATTTTTTCCATCTGTTTCTCATTTTCTGTGTTCTTTTGGATTGTTTGATTTTTTAAATATTCCATTCATTTCATATTATTGGTTTATTGGATATATATTGTGTGTGTGCAGGCATGCACATGCTGTGTAGGGATTACAGTATACTAACCTAACCTTTCACAGTCTACTTAGGGTTAATATTTTGCCACTTCAAACAAAATTTAGAAATCTTCTCTTTATCCTCTTTCTTTTATGTTATACTTGTCATGTTTTAAACATAAATAACTGAAAACCCACATCAGAAAATGTTATAATTTTTGCTTTCAATGACTACATATTTAAGGAACTTAGAAGAAAATAATTAAGAAAAAATATTTATCTAAATGCATACCCATTTTTGTTGTTCTTTCTTTATTCATGAAGTTCCAATATTTCCCTGTTACCATTTTCTTTCAGCCAGAAGAACTCCTTTTACCACTTATTTTAGAGAAAATCTGTGGGCAACAAATTCGCTTAGTTTTCTTTCATTTGAGAGTATATTGATTTTGTCATCATTCCTGAAGGTTATTTTTGCTGGACATAGAATGGTGGGTGGATAATACTTTTCTTTCAGTACTTTTAAAGATGTTGTTTCATTGTTTTCTGGCTTCCCTTGTTTCTTTTTTTTTGGGGGGGGTGCATTTGCTTTATTGCTTATGTTGCATATTCAAACAAATACAATAAACCCCATTTTAAAAAATGTAAGGCACATAAAAGCCTCTGTGCAGGTTCCGTATTATTTTTAAATTCCTAATGGCTAATAAAAGTATTTCCACTATAGACCTGGAGCTATCTAGAAATGCACATGATGAATTTTTTGCATGCAGGATATCTGAAACATTATCATATCTTAACTCATGGCACAACTGAACAGTCTCAAATCAAATGTCTGTATGTGAATAATGATTACAACTATTGTTACATTTGCAAAAACCTTATCAGCTTATCCACGTATATACAGTCGGGTCCCCAAATGTTAATTATATAAAATCTAAAGGAAGAACAGTATCTAGCTGCATCTGTGTCCCATTTCCTTAAAGGGAGATTTGGCATTTTTAGTCTTCCTTCCATAAGTCATGTTGCTATTTGCAAAGGCCAGTGCTATACGATGCTGAAGACCATGGACAGATACTGTTCATATGACACCTGAATCCAGCCGTCCTGATCCGTATCGTAACGCCTGAATATATTGGTCAACCTCTGCAAGACGATGCAGCCCTGGATGAAGTCGTCAAATGCGATCTGCCCCCGTCCTTGTCTGTCGAACTTGCGAATGAGGATGTCGTGAAACTGGTCAGAGAGCCGGTACCCAAAACCTGAGAGTGCTTGCTTGAGCTCGTTCTTGTCAATCATCCCAGAGTTGTCCCTGTCATAGGTGTGGAAGACATTCTGCCAGTCTGTGATGTACTTCCAGACGCCAGTGAACTCACTGAAGTTCACGCCAGCCTTGTTCTCTCGGTCAAACATGGATATGATTGACCTGACAGTCACTGGATTAAATGGAGTCCATGTGCCATTGGATAGTGCTTGCTGAAGTTCGTTGTCCGATATCACCCCGCTCCTGTCTTTATCAACCCTCTGGAAAACGTTCCACAAGAAGCTCTGGTCGGGCAGCGCCGCGCCTCCAGCTGGGCCGGCCCCGGGGCCCGGGCGGTAGGAGTAGGTGGCCATGGGCCTAGGCGCACCGCTGGGCTGAGGTCCCCCCGGGCCTGGCTTCCCTTGTTTCTGATGAGAAATCTGCAGTCATTCAAATTGCTGTTCTTCTATATGTAGTGTGACTTTTATGGCTCCTTTCAAAGGAGCCATAAAAGTCTAGCATCTTCACTCAGCCTTTGCTGAAGAAGATATAACCACTATTTATTCTGGGTTGTAATGGTTGCATTAGGGTGGTTAGCATGTAAAAGATATCTTTCTTGCTAATCTGCCACTTTTCTGTTCCTTTAGCTAGAGAGAGGCAGTTTTCCCTGAGAAAGAGAGAAACTCCTTTTCTTAATTTTTGGTCTTCAGCAATTTTATTGTAATGTGTTTGGGTTTGATTTTCTTTGAATTTATCTGAGCGTTGTTCACTGAGCTACTTAAATACATAGATTTAAGCCTTTCTTCAAATTTGGGAAATTTTCAGTGTAATTTCTTTAGATTTTTTTTCTTTACTAGTTGTTTCTCATTTTCCTTTGTGGTGACAATGATATGACTATTAGACCAATTAATATTGTTTCACAAGTCCCTAAGGCTCTGTTAATTTATTTTCTATTTCTTCCCTCTGTTCTTAAGCTTGGATAATCTCCTTTAATCTAGTGTCTACACTCTTCCCAGTTTCATCTCCATTCTGCTGTTGAGCCCAAGCACTGATTTTTTTATTACCAATATTGTATTTTTTGGTTCTAAAATTTTTATTTGATTTGTTTTTATAGCTTCTATTTCTGTGCTTAAAATTTCTATCTTTCCATTCATTTCAAGAGTTTTCACCTTTGCTTCAGAGCATAGTCATAACATTAAAGTATTTTTCTGATAGTTTGGATATCTGAGTCATATAAGCATTGTCCTCTCTTGATTGTTTTCCCTCTCAATAATTAGGTACATTTTCATGGATTTTGGTATTTCGAGTAATTTTAGATTGCATCCTGGACATTTTGAGTAGAATGACATGAACACTGAGTTCTGTTAAAATTCTCTGAAGAAAGTTGATTTGTTTTGTTTTAAAAGACAATTAGAGTTTCTCTGGTTGCAAGACAAGATGGAGTAGATAAACTTTTCCTTAGGCTTTCTAATAAGTACAGCTAAAAACCCTAGACAAAATACATAAAGCATAGAAGACTTTGGAAGGTAGAGAGAAGGCAGAAAGATTAGGGACATGGGACATTTGGAAAATCTGGCAGAGTTTCTCTTTGTTGATTTTGTTGTTGATGATTTATATACCGGGAACTAGATGCTAAAGAGCAACCCAGAAACATTAATGGGCGTAGACCAAAACAAGCGCCAGGGAAAACTGCCTCTCTCTAGCTAAAGGAACAGAAAAGTGGCAGATTAGCAAGAAAGATATCTTTTACATGCTAACCACCCTAATGCAACCATTACAACCCAGAATAAATAGTGGTTATATCTTCTTCAGCAAAGGCTGAGTGAAGATGCTAGACTTTCCCTTCATCTAGCTGTGATGACACCCCTCCCCCAAACTCTGCTTGAGGTGCAGTAGAAAACACCTGGGGAGCCTGGATTTCCATCCCCACCTGGGAGAAGTGGAAAAGTATCCCTTCTCACCCACCAGCATGGTGTCAGAAAAGGTCTGCTAAATCAGAGGATTGATTTATTGATTTTTATTTTTTTTAAGATTTTATTTTATTTATTTAGCAGAGAGAGAGATAGCAAGAGCAGGAACACAAGCAGGGGGAATGCAAGAGGGAGAAGCAGGCTTCCTGCTGAGCAGGGAGCCCAACGTGGGGCTTGATCCCAGGACCCTGGGATCATGACCCAAGCCGAAGGCAGACGCTTAATCACTGAGCCACCCAGGCGCCCCTGCTAAATCAGGGGATTTAGATAAGAGTCTCATAACAATATTCAAAATGGGGACGCCTGGGTGGCTCAGTTGGTTAAGCAACTGCCTTCGACTCAGGTCATGATCCTGGAGTCCTGGGATCAAGTCCCGCATCGGGCTCCCTGCTCAGCAGGGAGTCTGCTTCTCCCTCTGACCCTCTTCCCTCTTGTGCTCTCTCTCATTCTCTCTCTGTAAAATAAATAAATAAAACCTTTAAAAAAAAAACAATATTCAAAATGTCCAGAGTACTATCAAAATCGTTCATCATTCTAAGAATCAGGAAAATCTTAACTTGAATAAGAAAAGACCATCAGTGCCAATACTGAGATGATGCAGATGTTGGGATTATCTGACAAGGAATTTATTATTTATTGATTTAAAATGGTTTTCTTTTTTTTCTTTTAAGATTTATTTATTTTAGAGTGAGAGAAAGTGTGAGTGAGCAAGAGAGGGAGGTGCAGAAGGAGAGGGAGAGAATCCTCAAGCAGACTCCCTGCTGAGCCAGGAGCCCCACACAGGGCTCAATCCTAGGGTCCGGGGATCATGACCCAAGCCAAAATCAAGAGCCAGCTGCTTACCCATCTAAGCGACCCAGGTGCCCCTCTGACAAGGAATTCAGAGCAGCCATCATAAAAAGCCTTCAACAAACAATTACAAACATATTTGAAATAAATGAAAAAATAGAAAGTCTCAGAGAAAATAGATAATATAAATAAAAGCCTATTTTTCTGGTCCTCTGGCAAGAAAAAGAGGATTTCTCTTTGAGTTTTTGTTATCTGTGCCTACTGTGTAGTGGGCCACCCTTGCGTTAAAGTTGGGTGATAAAGGAGGGGAAAAAAAAATCAGAAAACTCACTGCATTACTGGTCAACACAGTTTTAATTTCTTTTCCTAATCTGCCTGCTATGATTTAATTTTCAGAGCTCTCAGGTGGTTGCTTTTTGTATCATCCAGATACAACATCCAGAGTTGTAATTATGTAATAGTAGATGTACTCCATCTTGGCCAGCATGGGAATCTAACAGCATTTTGAAGTTAGGGTGGTTGCCGACCCACCCTGGGTTCAAAGTAGTGAAAGGAAAATGCCTGAGGAATAAACGGCCGGAAATACAACCCCCTGATTATAACAAACTGCTTTAGTAAAAGTTAAATCACTTATGGGGCCAGGGAAAAATAAAGTGAGACAACATAAAGTTAAAGCAGGTATTTGGAAACAAAAGAAAAATGTGTCCACTTTGCACTTTGCTGGGTTGCACAGTATTGCTAGCTAGAAGGAAGAAAAACTACTTCAGCACAGGTGAGCACCTTGCCTAAAGGGTTTTGTTAAATTCACTCTATTTACTACAACATGAATGAATTTAAATTGACAACAAAATTAATAAAAAAAAAACCCCAAATGCAAAATTTTGCAGTGGCATTCTCTATACCCAAGTGCACAAGTGGAATAATTGTGTTTATGAATGGAGGGCTTTGCCATTGCTGGTAATTCTACTTTTTGCTTGATTTTAATTGGTCATGTTGATTAGGAATTTTTAGATTTGCCTAAACCCTCCTCTGTCTCTGGCCTGTGGCATAAAAGTGGGTGACTCATGGAAACTAGCTGCTGCTTATTGTGCTTAAAGCAAGTAGTTCTGATAACTCCCAGAATGTCAGACATGGGGAAAGCTGTTCAGTAAATCCAATAGGCTAAGATGACCAGGATGCTGTGGTTGTCTTGGTTAATTCTTTTCCCTCCAATCTTAGAAGCAAGTCAGGCAAAATTTCCTCTTTCATGAGAATGACATAGACATTCACCATCCTCTCCTAAGGGTAGCTGAACTCTCCTGTATATTTTGACAACCTGGCAAGGTGAGGTTTAGACTCAATCACAGTCAAATGCAAGTTAATATATGCATTAATGATAGCGTGAACGTCTCCCTCTCAGAGGAGGAAGTCCAGAAAGATTTGAGAATAACACTGGTACATTGACTGGTTGAAGATGGTTAATCTGGCTAAGATACAAGGCTGAATTCAATTAGTTGAACATTGGAGAATGACTTGGGTTGGAGGCCACAAGATGCAGTCCACACAAGGCAGGAATTACACTGATATATTTGCCCAGGCTCTGCTAATAAGAAAGAGACACAATACTTTGTGGGGCATTTGGCTGTGGGGAATACCATACACTGTTCCTGGGCATCTTGTTAACCCTAATATATTGAGTGGCAAGAAAAAGAAATCTGAATTTGAATGAGATCTAAAACAAACAAAAAAATCAGGCGTTGAGAAACTGCAGAGGGCTCTAGCCCCAAACAGTATCATTTGGGTTGGCCTAACGCACAAATTGCTTTGGAGGCTTTTACTGTCTAGACTCATGTAGACTGGAGTCTCTTGCAGAAGTCTTTAACACTCTCCTCTCCTCCCCAAACAGCAGCTTCTGGAATATTGGGTTTATAGTTACATGATGCCAAGAAGAGATATGACCCTTTTGAGAAACAATTACTGGCTTCTTACTGGGATTTAGTGGATGTTGCTCCCACTAATCAGGGATTTAAAATGATTCTCAGATTCAAGGTACCTTTCTGTCTTGGGTAATGTCAAATTCTACTTCCCATAAGGAAGGAGCATGTCAGAAGAGCTCAGTGTTAAAGTGGAAACGTATGTAGATATAGGAGTACCCCACCATATACCCATCCATATTCCATATATTCCTCACTGGCCGTGGCCCTGGGGATTATAGTGTATCCATGACTGTATTGCCTCCCTGCCCTTGGGACTAACAGCTGGAGCTTCCAAAAGTGGCAGCTCTTAGTGCTGAATGGTTTGAATCATAGGTTTTTCTCCTTGGTTTTTTTCTTTCTTGCCTTTTTTTTTTAGATTTTATTTAAATTCAAGTTAGTTAATATATACTATATTATTAGTTTCGGGGGTAGAATTTAGTGATTCTTCCGTCGCATAGAACACCCAGTGCTCAGTACATCAAGTGCCCTTCTTAATGCCCACCACCCAATTACCCCATCCTCCCACCCACTTCTCCTCCAGCAACCCTCCCCTCAGTTTGTTCTCTGTAGTTAAGAGTCTCTTACGGTTTGCCTCTCTCTCTCTATCTTATTTTATTTTTCCTTCCCTTCCCCTATGTTCATCAGTTTTGTTTCTTAAATTCCATGTATGAGTGAAATCATACGG